TGTCTGTTATCTCCGCTTTCATTAGGTGTAAATTTTGTTTTTTGGGGTATATGTAAGGGGTAATTTAAGACCCATGTTAGTCAGATTTGTTTGAAAATTACAGATTGCTTTTGTTTTTGATATTGTCTTCATTTTCTGATGGTTATTGGTTTACTTTAGTTTTTAGTGGACTTGTTTTGTTCAGGTCTAACACTACTATTAATACAAATTGATCTGGATTTTATCATGTTTTCATTGCTACAAGTGGCTAACCATGCTCCTGCCTTATGTAGAAATAAGGGAATACTGTTTGTTGCTATAGATCAGAGCAAACCCCTTTCAGATCAAGGTCCTTTTGACATTGTGCTCCACAAGGTAAGTTCATTGCACTGCTTTAGTTTCTGCCTAGGGAAGTAATCAGTCTGGTATTCCCTGTTACTATCGACTTTTTCACTTACTGCAAAAGTTGCTAGTTCTTTTTAATAGATTTTGTTTATTACCTATATATAACTTTTGTGCTCTTCTCTTGCAGTTGTCAGGAAGCAAGTGGAGTCGTATTCTTGAGGTTAGTTCATATCAAAGATATTAACTGATATGTGTTATGCGATCAACATGCATAAATGTTTAAGGTGTGAAATACACACAATTTCTTGATGATGTGGAATAGAGTTGGACAGTGATTGGTGGGCAACGGGTTGTTTTTTGTTTATGCTTGTTCTCGTCACACATTACCCGTAGACTGACTTCATAGTTAAGGTTAAAGTCTAATGCTTCTGGCCAAGTGAGAATCTTTCTGCTTCATGGACTTTCTTTAGCTGGTTTTCAGGATAGTGTTCCTGGCTTCATAAACTGATTCGTTTTCTCATAGTGAATGCTTATACCAGCTTTAAGAGGAGAGGCTTAACCTAATACATGTTTTGAATCTTTTTTATCATACCTTTTTGTAGTGCAGCATTGATCTTATGTCATCCGTCTAGGGTAACTTGTTCTTGTTCTACTTTTATCATGAAGTTATTGATTCTGTTAGAATATTAATAATGAATGCGAATGTGGAAACTGATATATTAAAATGTTGCTTTCTCTGTGAAAGCTTCCTTTCAGTTTAGTCTAAAGGAGTACATATAGAATATCCCCGTCTCTTATCCTATGGACTTAATTTTTTATGGACAGGATTATAGGCAAACACATCCACATGTCGCGGTCCTTGATCCTCCAGATGCCATACAGCAGGTATATAATCGTCAATACATGCTTGAAGAGGTTGCAGACTTGAACTTGTCAGATAGCTATGGTAATTTTTCCACTTCTGTTTAATGATCAACAAGACTTTCGTCATGAACTTATGATTATCTATATACAATTGCTGTTATCCTGAAAATAGGGAGTCTGTTTATTAGTTGTATGCACCAAGATTGTCAATTTACAGTTCCTGGAAGGCTTTTGATAAAACTGTTATGCTTAAGTGATGAGTAACTTGCTTTTGACAGGCAAAGTAGGTGTTCCCAGGCAATTGGTTATAGAGAAAGATCCTTCGTCTATCTCAGATGCAGTGGATAAAGCTGGTCTTTCACTACCTCTTGGTAAGTATATCTATATTTTGTTGTTGCTTATTTGGGATTAATCAACTGATCGGTAACCATTTTTTGAACTTCCACAACTCGATAAAAGGTAGGGGCTAGCTATCAGATCTTTACTTGCCATGGATGCAAGTCTGAATGAACTGGTAGGGCAATAGAGGGATAGACATTGTTTTTTGCGGCTGTTCTTTTTTCTGAATGGAGTTGTTTTTGTGTTCTCAGTGGCAAAGCCTTTGGTTGCAAAGTCACATGAGTTGTCTTTGGCCTACGATATGGTCTCTCTTCAGAAGCTTGAACCACCGCTTGTTCTGCAGGAGTTTATCAATCATGGTATGTATTTCATTTAAAGGTTGAATTTGTGTATTTCATGTGCAGTTTTGCTTGAATTAGTGAGGTGGTGATACTTTGTCATTTTTGTGGTTGTAGGAGGTGTACTTTTTAAGGTTTTTATTGTTGGGGAAGCCGTTAAGGTTGTCAGGCGTTTCAGCTTACCAGATGTTAGCAAACTCGAGCTGTCCAACAATGCTGGGGTTTTCCATTTCCCTAGGGTTTCGTGTGTTGCAGCATCTGCAGAAGAAGCTGATTTAGATCCTAGTGTTGGTGGTAAGCCATCTTTTTCTATATGAATTTGGTTACATTGTTGTACATACCAGAATGTATCTAGCGCACTTTAATATGTAGACACCTATAGATATGGCTTTACACTTTGTTGGATAAATCATACAAGTTTCTTAAACACTTGATTCCTTATTTTCAAACAAGTGGGAAGACTTCAAAGATTCTTGTCCATTTGATAAAATTATCATTTCATTTTTCCGGCTATAGATCGCCAAGACTAGGCAAGGATGTGATTGATTAAGGGTATCGATACTGTTCATAAAGTCCATAGCACTTCAGAGCTACTTCCTCACTTTTCTCCTGAAAGTTTTACCTGTCCTAGGTTTCTCTCCATAAATTTGAACAGTCTAGAATAATTTTGTAAATTTACTCTCCATCCTCTCACTTTATTGTTTCTTCATTTCAATCTCATCTTTCCCTTGATTGGAAATGTTTGTTTCTTCTTTTCAAGCTTCTATTAGCTTTGATTTGAAAATGTTTTCAAAGTAATCCACTTTTGAGTTTTTAGCAAGACATATCTGAAGTGAACGATTTAAGTATCTAATAAATATACACAGACATCAGAGTGTACAATAATCAGTCTTTGCAGTGGCAGAATTTTCCCTTAAAACTGATCAAGCTGTTGGTCACTTTAGTCACCTGGATCTTGTTGACTAAATTAACTCAGAAAATTGTTATGTCTTACATGTACCCTTCAATAGCTATGTTGCTCGAACTCTCCAAATATGTTGCTCAGATCCTATAAGATTACACTGCTTTTGGAGGACCTGTCACGCACACGTTGACATTTTTTAAGAGTCAGAGCAACATAGGTCAGTAGTTCTTCTCGTAGATCAACCTGTAGTCACTAAGTTTCACAACAATTGGAAGAATACGATAAATATATAGGCGATAACAATAAGTTGGGAATATGATTTTGATCATTTTAGTACGTTTACATCAGATCTTATGCTGTCTAGGCAACTTTTAATCATGCCAGAGATTTTTATACTAATAGAAAATTATAAAGACCCTCCTAGTGCTTTCTATTTTTATTTTTATCGTGTATTATATTGCCTGAGATGAAATTAAATAGAATTCATATAGCCTACCTCAATATGTTTAGGATCAAGGCTTGGTGGTTCTTGTTTAGTTTCATAGCAAATTGTGCAAAGCATAATGAAAAAAATGAAATAGGAGAAAAAGGATTCAAAGATGAAAATGTTCTCAAATGAACTCAGCTGTCTGCAAAGCTGCAATATATGTCTGATTGAATACCTTTAAGCTTTTAGTCAAGTGTTTGCTAACATACTCTAATTAATATATTCAATATCGCAGTTGTCAGTAGGACCATTGATCTACTTTTTTACCTTCGCCAATACAAGGCCTTTCTCGGTCTGAACACCTTAATTTTCTGTGGTTTTGCATGCTGTTGGGTGCTTTTATCGCCAATGTTCTCAAAAAAGTTAAAATGGTGTTAACTAATTCATATCCATCCTCTGCAGAGCTTCCTCCGCGGCCATTACTTGAGAGGCTTGCTAAGGAACTTCGTCGTAGACTGGTATTTTCTGTTCATTTTCCGCAATAAATTATGACCGGAACGGAACGACTATGGGAGCTACATGCTCTATCTTCTTGTCTGTTCTTGTTCTGCAGCTTCATAAAATGTTATTTTAAAGTTCTCTTACAATATGTCATGCAGGGTCTCAGGCTCTTTAACTTGGATATAATTCGAGAACACGGGACTAAAGACCGTTATTACGTAATAGATATCAACTATTTCCCTGGTAAGTTACGCTTTCATCTGTAGACATACCTTGTCATTCACCACCGTTCAAAAGAAAAAAACTCTTCATTTCCCTCGGAACCAATGATTATGACGTGTTTCTTCTTATATTAACTTCAGGATACGGTAAAATGCCAGAATACGAGCACATATTTACAGATTTTCTCCTGAGCCTTATGAAGCAGAAATAACAAGAAAATCCATCCTGTACATAACTTGTCTATACTATAGAAGAGAAGAAGAGGATATTATCCAGTCAGTACAAGCAAGGAGAGAACTCATATACCTGCAGTGACTAAAAGCTAATATTAGAAAGACGCGGGCTGAGAAGCACGAACAAAGTTCCATCAACTGTCTGAAATAGCTTCTGGCTGAAGCACACAGTTACAGAATTCTAGCAACAAAGCCTTGGCTCCAATTTTTGTTTGTTTGTTTAGAAGTTTTGGTCATTTTATTCCTTAACAACAGGAGTTTGAGTTCCTAGTAAATGTTTTGCTGGAAAGTAAATGTGTTTGTACCTAAAGTACCAAACTTTTTGCTGCCACCTTGTATATATACACACACACACACACATTTGTGTACTTTTTTGCTCTTTTTCTAATCTTCTTTTGGTGAACTAAAAACTCTTTAATCCTTACATAGAACAACAATAACAAGAATTGTTTTGAGTAATTATGCTAAGCTAACAATCACATTTTTCTTGAACATAGAGACTAGAAGTATAACCTCAAATTCCAACATAACTTCTAATCAAAAGCTAGCATCAATGATCATACCATAGTAGGTAAACATGTTCTTTTAACTAGTCCCTAACTTTTCTGTATTTAAACTTGTGTAAAATTTAGACACACGTCTTACAAATTATTTCAATTTTATACATGTTTTAGTGTTTATATGTGCACACCTATACATAGAAACATATATACAGGTCTGTATTTAGACTTGTATAAAATTTAGACACACGTCTTACAAAGTATTTCAACTTTATACATGTTTTAGTGTCTATGTGCAAACCTATAGACGGAAACATATATACCAGTTGAGACAAAATTAAATGACATGTTTGTGTGTTTAGTCACGACGAGACACTAAGTGGGAAATTAAAAAAAAAAGAAAAGAAAAAAGAAGTTGGTACAAGGTTGCATCCAGATTTTGACTAATAATGAAGACAGCTGAAAAAAACAAAACTCAAAAAATAGAAAAACAATTTTTTTTTCTTAGAAATGAAAGGTTTCTCTGCTAGTAGCTTTGCACGTCGAATTTTCAAATCCAATTCACAGGTACTCTCTACTGTTCTTGCTTTCTCTAATCTTAAATTGAACCAAAAATTGATTTTTTTTGTTTTAAAAAAATGATCTTGGGTAATCAATTGGGGTTTTTGAATTTTGTCCTATAATGGGGTTATTGTACATTTGCTGAATTGGGGTTTATCAAGAACTTCAATTTTTTCTTGTGGGTGAACTTCTATCTTAACCAAAAATGAAAAAATGGATGTTTGCGGAAATAATTAAGTAAATAAAAATGTGTTCTTTGTAACAATGTCTAGAGATGACCGCACACTGAGAGTAGACAAAAGTGTATATAATCTCACTTGAAAGGGTGTTTTGAGAATGCAATGAAGTAAATATAAGCGTGTTATTTGACAACTTAAGCTTAGATGAGATGATGACACACTTAACGAAATATTTTGGATTACTTGCCTATTTTGGTTGTTGTGGAAGCAATGTTGATTGAATCCTTTTGTTTAGAGAGATTAGTTTATGAGCAACAAAACATATTTGGAAGAAAAAAATTAGGATAAATGGAATCGATAGTTGTTGATGGAAGGGTATAAGGCATTCAAGTAAGGAATTCTGAAGAAGCTTACTATGAGTAACATCTCATAATGTAAGGTACTGCTGAGTATGACTTGGGAAGACAATGAACATAATCAAATTTATTCCAAAAGTTGGATTAGAACAAGCTGACACAGGACTATTAGTTGTGTGTATCAGAAAAAACATACTATGTATTAGAAGATTTAGAATCAAGGATGGTTGTTCTACGTGGTTTGATTTGACCTCGGAGCAATGTCTTTGCTCTTCTAATATTGCTATGTTACTTATGAGTCTTGATGCCTAACCTGTACTTTATTAGGATACGTGTGATTTTTGTTGTCATTTCTCTTTGAGTGCATTTACGAAGATTATGTTTTCTTGACAGAGCCCAAAGGAAAATAGGGAAAACACTGGCAGCTATGATGCTATTAATGTCATCCTTAACCATGACTTCTCGGAAGAGTTGCACTTGTGGCGCACCAATTGCTGCAATGCTTTTGTGGTTCCAGCGGGTTCTGGTAACTATAAAGGAACTGCAGAAGATGTAGGCTGTTCTTATGCTGTTGTCACGAATCGCACGGAATGTTGGCAAGGGTTGGAGCAAGATATTACAAGTAGAATTTCAGCTGGTTGTGACTACACAGTTTCTGCTTGTGTTGGAGTCTCTGGTACTTTTCATGGTTCTACTGACGTCCTGGCTACGTTGAGACTTGTTTACCAAAATGCAAATACAGACTATTTATTTATTTCAAAGTTAGAGTCTTTATCTTTATCCTCATTATTACTTTTTATTGTTTATGAAAAATCTATAACGTAATTACCTTACTCCATGTAGAAAATCTGTTATGGGGGAGGGTTGGCATATGTTGGAAGGTTCATTTTCACTGTCAACTATGCCCGATCAAGTTGTCTTTTATCTCGAGGGACCTTCACCTGGATCTGACCTGCTCATAAAATCAGTGATCATCACTTCCCCCGGTTGCACTGATTATGAAGTAAGTAATTTCTCCAGACAAAACGAAAAATGGAAGCCCCACTTATGACTTGTGTTGGTTTTTTGTTGATTACAACAACTTATACTATCTGCTCTATTACTGAAAGCACTCTTACCTTTATTCTGATAGAGTTCTAGACCAACATCCAGTTGTACTGATGATGAGAAGATCATAGTAAATGCAAATTTTGATTACAGCCTGAATAGTTGGTCCGGAAGAGGTTGCAAGGTTGTTTGCCTTGACTGTATGGCAGATGCAAATATCAATCCAACCTCTGGAAAATACTTCGCATCTGCAACAGAGCGCAAACAGAGCTGGAACGGGATTCAGCAAGATATAACCGGGAGAGTGAAGCGAAAGCTTGCATATGAGATGACTGCTATTGTTCGTCTATATGGTCACAATGCCAATAGTGCAGATGTTCGGGGAACATTGTGGGTTCAAGCAGCTGATAACCGTGAACAGTACATAGGAATTGCCAAGTAAGTTATCCAAGTTTCATTTATGTAATGCGCACATGTCTTTTCATTAATTTATATTTCTTTATATTCTTGGAAAGTATCCACACTATATACAATATTTTACCATTATCATTTATGAGCATAGATGTACGGAGCTTCCACGTTAGCGTTTCCTGCTCTCTATTCTGGTGGACTGCTTCAATGAACTTGCTCTTAAATAGAATATACACCGTCCTTGGTTATGAAATTTCTGTAATGCTATCAGACCAGAAACAATGTTATATGACTCGACCAACCTATACCCTTTTTTCAGATCTATACCATTTTATATATTGTAGTCTTAGTCAATATAATCACCCTAACAACATTAAGGAATTTCTGATGTTAACTGGTTTGTTTCTTCTGAATTGTGTGGAGATAATCATTTCTCTACTGTATTAGCAATCACTAGAAGGGGCACTGCTGTAACTTCAGGTTTATTTTGTATGGGATATAATGATTTTCAGTGGAAGGAAAACACTTTATTATTATCTATTAACATTTATTTTTCTTCACATTCTTGGAATCAATTTTGATATAAGCTAATTGAAGTGCACCAACATAATAGATATATGGTGGTTTGTATTGATAAGTTATCTTCTTCTCCTTGTTTTCTCTTATTTTTTTCAATTGCCGTGCATATTGAAGTTTCTCGCGAAGTGGCTTAACAAAAGCTGGTGCTCTGCAGAGTCCAAGCCACAGACAAAGATTGGGTGCAGTTGCAAGGGAAGTTTCTTCTAAATGACTCCCCATCTAAAGCTGTCATCTTTTTAGAAGGTCCACCTCCAGGAACGGATATCCTCCTCAATAGTTTAGTTGTAAATCACGTAGTTAAACCTCTTCCACCTCCTCCACCAGTTGTTGAGGTTAGTTTGTTCGTCGTTTTTTCTCTTTTCTTTTTATCATGGCAATAGTATAGGCATAAATGCCGAATGAAGTATTATGTTGTTCATCTTATGCTAGCTAGCTGCTTCTAGAAAGTGTCTCTCAGTTTAACACTTAATGTTTCGGGTCTCTCCGGATCCATATTTCACAGCCATATAGCATTTGAAGCATTCTTTCACTTTTTCTTGGTCTTTCAGAATGCAGTTTTTGGTGTTAATATAATCACAAACACCCATCTGAATAATGGCACAAATGGCTGGTTTCCGCTAGGCAATTGCAGAATGAGTGTTCAAACAGGCTCACCACATATAATTCCTCCAATGGCTAGAGATTCCCTTGGTTCTCGTGAGAATTTAAGTGGTCGTTATATTGCAGTGACTAATCGTACCGAGACATGGATGGGCCCTGCTCAGGTGATCACAGATAAAGTCAAACTCTATTTGACATACCAAGTATCTGCATGGGTTAAAGTCAGACATGCATCAGGCCCTCAGAATGTAAGTGTGGCCCTTGGTGTAGACGACCAATGGGTTAATGGGGGCCAAGTTGAGGTTAGCGATGATCAATGGCATGAAATTGGAGGATCTTTTAGAATTGAGAAGCAAGCAGCTAAAGTGATGGTGTATGTCCAGGGTCCTGCTGCTGGGGTTGACCTAATGGTAGCTGGACTTCACATTTTTCCAGTTGACAGACATGCAAGATTTAACCACTTGAAGAGACAGACAGATAAGGTAATATCTGAATATTTCCTTTTTGTATTTTCAGTTGTCATTCCAGCGTTACGATCTTCAGGTCCAGTGAGGTGCTTCCAAATGCTTGTGTACTGTTGCCAACACTGCGTTTGAATGCAGCGTGACATTTTATTGATTGCTGCAACTGAAGCTCTGACATTAGAATGAAAATGAATGGTGTTACTTGTGGCAAAGTCTTTGTTAAGCAATTTACCATGGAACTTACATATATTGTATTCTTAGATTCTTCCTTCTTATCTGAGTTCAGAAAATTTTGTTGCAATTATACGGTTTTGAAACAACTCCTCAAGCATTTACGAGATCTTTGTTAGTGTTTTGGTATGTGTTTCGTGATCAACTGGCTGTTCTTTCAGAATTCTCTTCATTTGGTTGGCAGCATGTAAAATGCATAGCTTTTTCAGATACAATCAGGTATATATGCATTGACAAAAAATATTTCTTTCTCAGATACGCAAGCGAGATGTCATCTTGAAGTTCTCTGGATCAGACACAGTCCATTTGCTTGGCACATCTGTTAGAGTTAGACAACAGCAAAACAGTTTCCCCTTCGGATCGTGCATTTGCAGAACAAACATGGACAATGAAGACTTCAATGATTTCTTTGTCAAGAACTTCAATTGGGCTGTCTTCGGAAATGAGCTGAAGTGGTACAGCACCGAAGCACAGCGAGGAAAGTTCAATTACAGAGATGCAGATGAGCTCCTAGACTTCTGCACGAGACACAACATTCAAGTTCGTGGTCACTGTATATTTTGGGAGGTGGAGTCCACCGTTCAAGAATGGATACGCTCGTTGAACAACAATGACTTGATGGCAGCTCTTCAAAACCGTTTATCGGGCCTACTTACACGTTACAGAGGTAAGTTCAAACATTATGATGTGAATAATGAGATGATGCACGGTTCTTATTACCAAGAACGGTTAGGTAAAGACATATGGGCAAATATGTTTAAAAAAGCACACCAACTGGATCCTTCCGCGATCTTATTTGTAAATGACTACCATGTTGAGGATGGCTGTGACACTCGGTCATCCCCTGAAAAGTACATCGAGCATATTCTTGACCTCCAAGATCAGGGTGCACCAGTTGGAGGTATAGGTATTCAGGGACACATCGACTGCCCAGTTGGACCGATTGTCTGTTCAGCTCTTGATAAACTGAGCATTCTTGGACTTCCAATCTGGTTTACTGAAGTTGATGTCTCTTCTAATAACGAACACGTTAGAGCTGATGATTTAGAAGTTATGCTTCGAGAATCTTTTGCTCATCCTGCTGTGGAAGGTGTAGTACTGTGGGGATTCTGGGAGCTGTTCATGAGTCGAGAAAATGCACATTTAGTAAATGCAGAAGGTGAGCTCAACGAAGCTGGAAAACGATACCTTGCTCTTAAGCAAGAATGGTTATCCCATGCTCATGGTCACATCGATGACCAAGGTCAATTCAGGTTTCGAGGATTCCATGGCTCGTATGAGGTAGATTTCGTTACTGCTTCCAAGAAAATTACCAAGACGTTCGTCGTTGACAAGGGTGATGATGCATTAGTTATCTCCATTGATATATAGTTCTGATTTTGAGTTGAGTTTTTGACTCATAGAAGGCCTTATAGTATTCATTTGTGTGAAGTTGAATTACAGATTATCTGTACAATGTTCCTACAAAATGTGATTTGTTTATCATGTATATTAATTCATATGTTTATACTCACTCCGTTCATTTTATGTGGTATTTTTTGAATTTCGATATACAAACAAGTCTGTCTTTGACGGTAAGTTTTTATATAGATCTTTTTAAACATTTTCAATTATCAATTATTGTGACTTATAGTACTTTTTACATAGTTTACAAATATATAAATTTTATTTGAAGATTTCATGCGTAAATTTCAAGTTAAACTTGAACTATTTGACTCTCGAAAAATGAAAAGTGTCACATAAATTGAGACATATGGAGTATTTGTTCTGATTTCAAAGTATCTGTTCAATCACACTATCAAAACAAAAAAATTAAATTAGCGATAGACAAATTTTATAACTAAATAATATGCAAAATTATGGCTAATTCAAAAATATTAATAAAAGGTATCAAATTATAAAAAAAGTAGAGAGTCACAAAAAATTTAGCAGAGATACTATAAATATAAAAAATTAAAATTTTAATCTAGCTAAATAGTGTAATTTTCTAACGAAGAGGCTAATTTCATTTGATACCTTTTAGCTTATGATATGAAGTAACCTTTGTTGGAGAATATGTGTTATCCTGAATTTTCTATACAAATTCAAATAATACAAAACAACGGATTGGAAACGTAAAATAAACCATATAGTTGACCTGACATATTCCTTTAAGAGAATTTGTATTAGAAGTATATCTTATTAATGATGTTTTCAAAAACTAAAATTAGTATGAAAAAAGTTAACAAAACTCTCTTAATTTGCAATAATGAACAAATAAAATGAAATGTTTATTTTTATTATAAGAATCGAGTAAAATGAAATGAATGAAAGTAATGTTGAAAAAGAAGAAAAGAAAAGTACAATAAAAAATAATAATAGCTTTGTCATATTTTTAGAAGTTTTAAATTAATAATTGCTAACCATGTTACTAATAATAATGAACATAATATCAAAAATGGTAAGTTTTCTAAACACATTATTAGTACTATTATCTTTGTTCAATGTATAGTTTTATTTGAGATTTTAATATTTATTGTCACTTGTTTTTATCGACAAAAATATGGGCAAATTATTTGACAAAAAATTCTACTTACTTTTACCTATCCTAGCCTATAATTGATAGGAATTTTTTTTTTCAAAATGAACCCTAATGTATTTATATCTACCACAGTAATAATTAATGCTAGGATTTTATCTCCATAACGTGAAAAGTTTAGACAAATAAAAAAGGACATGTAAAAAGAAAAAAATGAGCAAATAATTAGAGATAAATAAATAAATAATTTGATCGTATGTATTGAAACCTCGATTAAATTTAAATATCACATTGTAGGGTATATTTAGGAATAAAACTCCTAGCTCGAAGTCATTTTAAAAAATAATTAATTTGACCATCTGTATTGAAACCTCGATTAAATTCAAATATCACGTGGTAAGATTTATTTAGGAATAACACTCCTAGCTCGAACCCATTCTAAATTAATAACCATGCTTTGTTCTTTTCGGGAAAATTAATTAATTATAAAGCTTGAAATTAAAATTTATATATTTTAAAGAAGGTCAAATACATAAGTAGATTTCTAAATTTGTTGGCTTTTTTTTTTTCAGATACCTTAACTACGTCATTTTTCTATTAGATCATTGAACCCCATAATTTGTTCCGTTTAAACAAACACTGTTATTTGATGTGAAACCAGATTTGTGAGGGGTATTGATAGATGATACATATGTTGTTCCAGAACGCATTAGTCCAATTGATAGTGAAAATGTTCGAGAATAATTGTGTTTTACTTAAGTCATTTGAACACATTAGAAAACAAATGAGACTAACACGGTTTGTCTTCATTTCCTCAATCAAAATTATTACAATTCGAACACAATTGAAGGCATTTACAATAGAAAAACGGATCAAAATCAACCAACAATGTTTAAAGGAACAAATTATGGGTGGTTCAATGATTTAATGGAAAAATGACGTAGTTGAAATACCTGAGAGGAAAAAATCCAATAAATTTATGGATCTATTTATGTATTTGGCCTTTTAAAACTATATAAAAAGTATGTACTTCATATAGCAATTATTCTCACGTTAATTAATATGACAAAAAATATGTATGTTTAAAATATTAGTAAAAATTAATATAATTTGTTTCTCAGAGACAACTAATTTGTGACGAAAAATAAAAAATTAAATTCTTTGCAGAAAAAACTGACACTTCATTTAATAAAAAACATTTAACATGATGCAAAGATAACAACGTGTCATGCATAGCTAGTTCCTTGGTAATGGCTTAATCTATAGATAGAAAGCCCTATGATGGGAAACTACCACGTTAGGTTTGGAGAGAGATGGGACCGGTTATATAATAGGGGAAGATTGCAATTTTTCCCTTTTCTAGTTTTTTCTTTGTTTTATTTTTTAACTTTTTATACATTAATATATCAGTTAATTTTATTTTTTGAAAAAATTGAATTTTTTTATTTTTCTTGTCCAGGATTGAGTACAAGGAAAAGGTAACAAGTAAGAAATTGTAGTCAAGATTAATTGAAATGCAAAGAGGTATTATTGAGGACAAGAGGGATCGAATCGTAGACAGTGGCGAAATCAGAAATTTTAATAAAGAAATTAAAATTTAAAAAGTAAACATATGAATTAATGGGAGAGAATTCGACATTTATAATACATACTTAAAAAATAATTTTAATCATATATAAATAAAAATATTATCAAATATGAACTTTATATAATAGGGTCAAGAATATGGCAAAAAAATATGTATATATTTTTCTCAATTTATTAAAAATGTACAAATTAAATATACATTCACAATAATTTGTAAGAGATTGCTAACACAATTTTTTTTTTACTGCAATTAGGCAAAACAATTAGCCTAATTGTCTTGGTAGAGTGTGGACCATAAAAAGGTAATTAGCCTAATAATGATTAGGGATAATTAAGATACTGAATTGTCGATCAAATAATTTATAAAATATACTTTCTTTGTTATTTTTAATTATTATATTACACTTTTTGAAAATTAATATCTATTAATTTAACGTATATATTTGTTATAGATAAAATTTTGCCTTCATGACACTTTGATTTACGTGGTATGAATTTTAATAGCTCAATTACATTTTGATGATGTTAAATAATAATAAACATGTTTCTAATTTAATATATATATATATATATATATATATATATATATAAAATAAATTTACTAATATTAATATATATATTTTTAAAATTTATTAAATCAGTCAAATTTATATGGGGCTACTAAATCCACCAACCCTGGAGTAAATAGTTATAGGGACTAAACAGACAACACAACATGCATGAATCTAACTTTTATACTTCAAGAATTTATTGCTTTTTAATTGTTACAGCCGTTAATATGGGCGAGTCCATTCTATCTGGGCTAACTTATACAGATTTTGATATTTTACAGGTCAGATTAGATTGAGCTAACTCATTTTTTGTGTTGGTCAAAAAAGGTCGGCCCAACTTATAATTACGTGGGCTACAGGCTCGGCGGGTCAGTCCCTTTTTTAAAATTATATTTTTTATAACTATTGAATAAATTATAAATTATAATTTTAAAATATTATCATTAATATCGACAAAAACAATATTACATGATGTTGATGTTATTAATTCTTAATCAAATCTATGAACAAATTATTTTTATAATATTTATTAAGTTTTTTTTAAAAGTAAAAGAATAAATATCTAATTAGAAATATAACCTAATTGTTTTGAGTTTGGATTCTCTTTAATTTTAAATTTTAATATTATATTATATTTTTAATTCATTTTTATTGGCCCACGGGCCGACCGTATCGATATTTCTCAAGCCCTTCAAATCAACAGACTTACTTCAGGCTGGGGTAAAAAAACCCTTTTCTTAAACGGGCTCCAAAAATCTTAGACCATCTCTATTGAAGGGCTAAAGTTAACATTTTTTTAAAAAATAAAAATTATACTATTTAACTTCATTTTATTTTTAAAATAATTTTTGTTTAAAATGCTCCTTCAATTCACCCATGAGATGTTAAGATTACATTTTTAATTTCTCTAAATATAAAACTGGGAATTAATTTATTGGTTAAGAAAATTCAAAATTTACCTTAAAATACATTTTTGAATTTCTTTTGAATACTTTTAATAAAAATTTAATTCGCCACTGTATTTATTAGCTAACCTATCAACTAAATATTAAGGGAAAACACTTTTTCTTTTAGTAATAGTTTCTTTTATTTAAAGCTAGTATATTAATTGGGAGCTTTATAAGATGACCTAAAAATGATGGTTTAGAGGGTTTTGGGTGGGTGGGTTGGGGGGGGGGGGTAATTATGTATATAGTTACTAATATATAAAAATATAAAATAAAAAGAAGACAAAATGCCCTATTATTATTCAAATTTATGTTTTTTTTGTCTGGTTGTACTGCATTAGCTAACCTTACATACTCTCTTGTTTGTCCTACATAAAAGGTTATCAATGAGAATTGCGATGAAGCAGTAAGTATTTTTTTATTATTAATTAAAAGGTATTATGTTCGAGCTCTCATAAGCTAGAGTCGTCTTTTTTAGAAGGCGTTTTATTCCTCAATATGAGATTTCCTGACACGAATTTAGATTTAATCAGACTATAATATAAATACAGAACGCCGAGTAAGAAAAAATAGAAGGTCCAGGACAAAATAAAAGACCAATAAAATATTGAAAGTATTATTTGTTTTGTTCATAGAATTATTATGGAGGTAGAAATAAATAATCATTCAATATCTCAGATCTTCTCTTGTTTTACTAAAAATTTCTATGAAGAACATGACAATTTTTTTATCTTACTCAATTTTATTCAATATGCCATTGAAACAAAAATAAATATATATAAGGAAATAATAATTTGGTAAGTTAAAATGTAACACAAAAATAGCATAAATATTCTTGAAAATGAAAGAAATGATTTTTATTTTTCTTTGTTTGTTAAAACACATGGATGATTATTATTTTCACCTAATTACAGTTGGGTAGGTGGGGGGC